GGTTTTTAGAACTTAAATTTATGACATCTCCAAATGTTACATCAAGTGCTAGGGATTGTTTGAAGACCTTTGATTTCATAGAGAGATGGAAATTCTTTGTGGGGAAGGGGCCGGTTCTGTGACCTTGTCGTCACTGAGGCAACTTGACGGAGGTCATAGTAGCCGACAAGGGTATACAAAAGCAAAAATCAGCACGGTTTCTTTTTTTTGACTGGGGCATGTCGTACAATGCTCTGTGTATGTCTTAATTACAATGATTTGATCATTATCACATGCTTTCTAAATTGTCGTGACACTTTTTTTTTTTTTTTTTTCCCCGAAGGCCACACATTAATGTACAAGTGAGGGACCAAATCCTCCTACCTTCAGTTGCAACCATCACCCCTCAAGAAGGCCTGGCCCTGCATAGGCATGTGTGACAGCTGGCAATAAATCCAGAAGGTCTGATGTCCAAGTTCCCTGTTTGGACTGCTCCATCACTTCTTTCTTTAGGGCCTGATCCATAGCTCATTGAAATGAATAGAAAGACTCTCATTTCAGTGGATGTAGGACTAGGCACTCAGTTGCTGAAAAGTCTTGGAGTCTTTCCAAAAGGTATGAGTTATTCGTGTGAGGAAAGCTTCTTGTTCTGCCGCCCATACCATACCTAAGATATCTAGAGAAAAAGGACTGCAGTGTCTGGAACTGTTATCCTGTCACAGTTCACTGACCGCCCCACTGCTTTTCCCCACCCCCCCCGCACCCACCCCTTCTGCAGTAGGAGTGAGACCCCTGAACGTGCCAGCCTGCAATGAATCTGGCTGCAGCCCTTCTTCCATCTCCTCCAAGCTCTTCACAGACGTGCTGTCCTCCTGTCCCACCATGAGCTAGGCCCATGGCTTCCAGTTCAGTCTCCTCCTGCTACTGGCCCAGGTGGTTGTTCATCAGTCCTGGAGGAAGAATCTGGATAGGAGTATGTGAGGGCTGAGAAGGGGGGCAGTTTCCATTAAACTCTTTTCCATTTCTTTGTCCAGCATCCACTGACCCTTTGGACTCCTCCTTCCCAAACCTGTAAGTGTGGGTTCAGATTCCTTACTTTGTGTCCCCCTCTGGATCTGCTGGTTTAACCTGATGATCTGCACTTGCATAACTAAAAAAGGAAAACCCTCTTCAGTTCTGATTTAAGACCATTTCATTTATTTCACATGTGCTGTGTAGCAGGGTTTGGAGAGTAGGATCTTTTAACCTACTAACCAACCAGTCCTAGTTTTAGGAACCATCCTGTCCACCAACCAATAACTATCACATAGCAACAAACAGCGGCTTAGGAACAGTGTTCTTAAATCATCCACGGAAATAATTGTTGTCCAATCCCTACAGTTGTTAAAGAGAAGCTAGGACTCGTGAATACAATTCAACAAACAGTTTTGGGTCAAAAATGGGGAAAGAAGATTTTGCTTTCAATTCAGAAATGCTGAAACGTTTCACTTGAAAAGTTGCATTAAAACAGGGGTGGGCAAAATGCAGCCCGGAGGCCGGATGTGGGCCACCAGGCCATTCTATCTGGCCCACAGGGCCTCTAAAACATTTAGAAAATTAATATTTATCTGCCCCTGGCTGCCTGTCATGCGGCCCTCAATGGCTTGCCAAAACTCAGTAAGCGGCCCTCTGCCCAATATAATTGCCTGCCCCTGCATTAAAATAATGTCCAACTTCCTGTTTCAAAATGGCATTTTTATTTCCTTTCCTTTAAACTGACAAAGGAAAAACGGTCAAATAAAAGGAGTAATTAATTCATCCCCAAATTAAGCAAATCATTTCATTTCGAGCCAAGGAAGACATTTTAGATTGACCCAAAACAAATTATTTTTTTTCATGCATCAGCAGACTCTCCCCTCTCCCCCACCAAAAACATTCTGTTTCAGTCCCATGTGAACCAAATTGTTTTTCAATTTTTCTACCCAATTCTGCTCCTGGATTCTGTTCCTAACACAGCAGCTGACTTCTTCAATGACTTTGGGCAAGTCACTTAAACTTTCTATGCTACACTTTAACCATCTAGAAAATGGATATGATACTACTTACCTGCCTGACACCGGGGTAGTGAGGCTTAAATTTTTATTAAGCTTTGCAAAGCACCTTGAGCTCTGTATAAAAAGCTGCTGCTCTTGAGGGGTAAACCAGTTTTTATATGAATGCTCTTTAAGCCTATCATTAGCGCAACATTTCTGTGCGCATTCCTATTTGCTCTTCCTTTCTTTGAGGAACACACACCAAACAGTACTGAAAGTCACAACTTCACAGGGAAAAAAGGCGTATAGAAGTATCGGAAAGGGAGATAGGCTGGGAGGCAATGCAGGCTTTCTGAAGGTCTAAGGTTGCTTCCTCTCTATTAATTATGTATGTGGTGCATCTTGTTAATACATTTCTAAAGACATGTTGACACAACCTATGACCTCTGTCCTGGCACACGTTACTTTGAATTAATTTAACCCCAGGTTCGGCTGGAACTGGACAACATAGCTGAAGGCATTTCTATAACAGCCGCAGTAAGCTGCCATCCACAAGGAGACTTCCTGTATCTACCGAGAGAGAACAGGAAGTAACGTTACACCTCCGTGGCGAACTCATTATGAATAATTTCTGTGGAAGGCCCCGGGGTTACATTTCAGGCCGATTGTCCCTGTAACACAACCAGCACCTAACCCAAGTGTTATTTTCCCCCTGAAAGTATTCATGGGTTATAATTGTATTTAATTTTACCAATCCAGTCTTGGAACTATGTTTAGGATTAAATATTGTTTCTAAAATCGGAGGGGGAGTTACAGCTGGACATGTTGCCATCTATATAATCATCCAAATTCACCTAATGTGTTAAAGCAAATCTGACAATGAATGTGCTTTGCATCCACAAAAATATACCAATTTACTGAATATCTCGGTATATGCCAAGCACAGTGTAATGTATGAAATACAGGTCTTCTGTGAAAATGAATTCAAGCATGGCTTTGTGAAGTTTCATCTTCGTTGCCTTTCAACAAACTCATAATTAATATGTACTGTTTACAAAGATTTTTTTTCTTGTAGCTAACTGGACAAACTCAGTTTGGGACCTCCCTAAGGCAAATAGCTATGTGCTGTGTTAGTACTGACTATATTGTATTTAGCAGGCACATGGTAGTTTCTCAGAATTGTAGATCAATAGGAAGTGCATTGAGCCTGGACCACTGAAGATGGCTAAAATACATCCCTGATATAATATGAAGTCATTGGGCCACCTGATTTTCACAATCTTATTCAGAGACCCCTGGAATGGTAGACTTTCCAAGAAGGTACAACTGTATACTGCCTGACTCTGAAATAAACAGGGGCTTCTGGGAGAGAACCCACCTACTCCAAAAGCTGTATAATAAAGATGTTTTCTGAATTGGGGGGGGTTGCATTGCCATTTCATTTTCTGAATGTGTTCATTTTCTGAATTGTGGAGTTTCCTGCATTGAGTAGCAATGGGGCCAAGAGAAGAGCGGGAACAAAAATTAACTTTGCACACTTGCATCTGAGTATAGAGTGCATAGGGAATTGAGAGCCACAAGACGCATCGGATCTACATGCCAAGCAGATCTGAGAACTGGCCTTCTATATGATTTATAAGGTCTATAATAAAGCCGTATTTCTTAATGCAGTAAAACCGTACAGTAGTCATTCTAGGGAAGGGTGCTGGGAGAGGGGTCTTATTAGGCCTATGCACGAATCCAATGCAGCGGCTGCAATCCAAACGTTGCAGGAAATTCTGCTGTTCTTTCTGCCACTGGCTCTGAGCTCTGGCTTTTATTTGAAGGGCACTGGAGGCCGAGTGGTGTTTACATGATACCATTGACAGCAACATAAATCTGCTTCTGACAGTGAGGCAAATTAGTATGGTGAGAGCTCAATATATTCGATTGCAGAGTGAGTTTCAGAAGGGATCCTGCATGCCAGGGTTAGGAGAGGGCTCAGTGCTACTGGCACCTGTACTTACAAACAAAGAGCACTGACAGGTTTGAAGTTTTCCAATCGATTAAATATCCTGAATGACTAAACCTAGCCCATACAAATTGCACCTATGAAGGAAAAACTGGGATGTGTTCAGTGCCTGCAGAAATCCCCAGTCATCTTGTGCGAGTTATCTGGCGCTCACAAATGGAAAGTGGTTGCTGAAGACTTATTCTGGAGAGACCAACAGTCTGAGGCTCTCTTCCGCTCATTCACATTTTATTATGCTTGTTGCAGTTTAATTCAAGGCAATACCATCCCCACATCTTAATCAAGAATCAGGGCCTCATTGCACATCATGCTAACAAGTCCCTGCTCGGGATACTCCCAAGCTAGGACCATGATGAGGATGTGACGGGCAGTTTAGGGGGTGAGAAAAAGACAGGAATGGTACAAACAACATATTGGGCAAAATGAGGGAGAGCTGCTGTTAAGTCCTGCACCATTCTCTGCTGCTTATCTTTTTAATTATTTCTCTAATAATTAGACATTAACATCTTTGGGACAGGGAAAGCTATGAACTACATGAACTGCACCCTCCTGGTGCATGCTGCCACATGGGGTTGTAGATGCAACCTGTAAAATATGAGCCTTTATTACAATCTTCAAGAAATCACCTTCCAAGTAGAGCGGCTAGAAATGTTTTGACTGAAAAGTTTTCATGATGAAACGGCTTATTTTATAGAAAAATGTTGTTTTTCTTACAGCAGTAAGATGGCGTTGGTCATTAAGCATGTGCATTGCTTCACGGGGGGGTTGGTTTTACATGTAATTATATAAACTATACTTATAACAGTTTCCTTACTTCTAGGCATCACTGGTGAAACTGCTTCCCACCTGCAACAGCCCCAGGTAAGCTGCAGACTGCTTTCCTGTTCTCATTTTTACTACTGTAGAGCCTGAACTGAATGGTTTCATGCTTTCTGTCCAGATCTTAGTTGATCTGGCAACACCCTGACTGCTTGAAATAGTTGAACCTCAAGAAGCAGTACACGAGATGTAGCATCCTGGCTAGATTCTGATTCGGAGGTTTCCATTCATCCTCCCTAAATCTGTGCATGCGGTAGTCTGTGCTGTCTATGAGCAGCATTAAAATAACTGCCATCTCTCATCCAAAAGTGATGCAGTAAATGCATATATGTATAAAATGTGCGTGTGAGCTTGTTAACCTCTTCGGGATGTGGAGTGAAAAGTGCTATAGAAATGCTATAGAGAAGTGCCCCTATAATGTCTTTCTCTAGTCTTCTTAATTTTGGCTCCTTCTAGCTCATACATGGGGTTCTCTTTACCTCGCACGAATCTTTCAGCCTTTTGCTTACGAGCAAATTTACCTCCAAGGAGTGTGGTGCTGGGTGTGTGTATTTCTAGAGGGCCAGGAAGCACAAACTCTCAGAGTTTGCAGCTACTCTTGTTGCTCAGGGAATGCAGCCACTAGCTGCATTAGCCTCCTCCACCTGTGTTTAAGCAAACATTGCCTTACAGCAGGTCATGGCAGGCAGGATTGCATTGGACGAGAAATTCAGAAGAGAGCTACTTTTCCTAACGTGCACATTGGCAGCAGTCAGTTCCTGAGATCCTCATCTGCAGTCATACATGCAGAGCCTGCTGTTGAGGTGGAGCCCTGTTACCTGCAGGTGCATTAGTTGACTATGTGCTGGGAGAGCAGAAGGCAAAGCAAGCGCATGTGGCATTTTGGTTCAGAAGTTTGTAGCCTGTCTCTTGATTTCCTCATACCTTTTCTCATCTTTCTTCTGTTCCTCTCCTTAACCACCCACATGATTTTTCCTCATCATACAAACATCCTTTAGTCCTTATCTTTAAAAAAAAAAACAAAAAACAAAAAACCCCACCAAACCCACTCTTGATTCTTGCTTCTCCAGCTACCACCTTTTTTTCTTTTCATTGCATGTGCTGTGTCCAGCTGGTCTGGAGTTCCCCTCCAGTTCCATCCAAGATGCAGTGCTCCCCACTCTGGCTTCTAGCTTTTGCGCTGCAC